GAAGAAGAAGAAGAAGAAGAAGAAGAAGAAGAAGAAGAAGAAGAAGAAGAAGAAGAAGAAGAAGAATGATAACGAGATACATGTAATAACAAAAACAACAGCAGCAGTAACAACAGTAAAACCAGCAAGACATCATATTGTTGTTGTTGCTGTTGTTGTTGATGATTATAATGATAATGATGATGATAATGATGATGATGATGATGATGATGATGATGATGATGATGATGATGATGATGATATAATAGGGCTTATACAGTAATAATATTCAGACTTATACTCTGAGGAGCGACAAGTTGATAGACAGCTACATAACGCTGTTTCTCGGCTCTCCTTTAGTTTTGGTGTTAGTAGAGGTTTTACGGCGCTCTCAACTGCATAAGGTCACATGAGCGCCAGAAGATTAGAGGTGTTACAAGAGAGTAACACACATAAAAAAGAAGAAGGGGAGATAAATACGACTGATGTTTGATAGGACAGAAGAAGCAGACCACACCAGAGCACCCGCCAACCACCCACTCCGAAATGTCAGAACGTGATACAACACCAACAGAAGAAGAACTCTCTTCTGCAATCGGTAAACTCGCTTGCGGATAAACAGCAGGAAATGACAGTATACATGTTGAAGTGCTGGAAGAGAACAAATAGACCCTCCTTCCTTTATCTCTACAAGCTACCAACGGCTTGTTGAAGGAAAGCAGAAATTCCACAAGACAGGAAGAGAGATGCCAAAATCACTACACTCTACAAAAGCAAAGGGGACAAAGGAGATTGCAAATACTACAGAGGTATCTCACTGCTAAGCATCACTGAAAAAGCTTTCGCTAGGATCATCCTGAAGCGATTTAAGAAACTAGCAGAAAGAGTCCAACCAGAGAGCCAATGCGGTTTCAGATCAAACCGCTCAAAAATGGACATGATCTTTTCTATTCGTCAGCTACAAGAAAAATGCAGGGAGCAACGACTGCCATTACATACTGCGTTCGTCGATCTGACAAAGGCTTTCGATACAGTCAAATTGATCAGGACTGTACATGGTGCTTAGAAAAATTGGCTGCCCCCCAATACTGCTACAGCTCATCATCTCATTCCACGAAGATATGAAGGCCACCATTCAGTTTGACTGTTCAACATCAAACAGCTTAAAGATCAATAGCGGAGTAAAGCAAGGCTGTGTCTTAGCACAAACCTTTTTAGCACATATTTTGCTGTCTTACTGCAACACGCATTCAAATAGTCACCAGGTAATGTTTTCCTCCCCTGGAGAACTGATGGGTCACTCTTCAATCTTGCTCGACTCCCGGCCAAGACCAAGATCAATAAAACAACAGTACGAGACCTTCTCTTCGCCGATGCTGCTGCTCTTGTTGCTCATAGTGAATCAACCCTACAAACAATGATGGACCACCTATCAACAGCATGCAAGGTCTTCAACTTGGTCACCAGTGTTAAGAAAGCAGTCATCCTTACCCAAGAAGGTGCAGCGCAGATCCATATATGGCTGAACGACAAGGAACTCGAGACAGTGGACAAGTTCTGTTACCTGGGATCTACCATCAGCTCTACTACATTAGTTGATTATGAGATCAACATCAGGATAGGGAAAACAGAAACAACTTTTGGAAGGCTGAAAAAACTAGCAAGGGAAAACTAAAGATTAACCATCAAAACAAAGATTAATTTTTACGAACAAGGTTGTATTGTTGGCACGAGCAAACCTCCAGAGCATGACAACTATCCTGTGTTTAAAAAGATTGAGATGACTGGCCCATGTCAAGAGAATGGACGACAACCGGATTCCGAAGCAACTTTTCTATGGAGAACTTGCCCAGGGGAAGAGACCAAGAGGAAGACCAAAATTTGAAATATAAAGACACCTGCAAAAAATGCTTATCTAAGCTTGGAGCAGATGTTTGTATCTGGTGAGAAATAGCTAAAGACAGGAAAACAAGGAGGACAATGATAAAAGAAAGAACTATAATGCGGCCTTAGAAACAACCAGGCTGAGAAGCGCCAACGACAAAAGTAAAACAGTGGATATACAGAGCTTCGATCCGCCTCACTGACGACATGCAAACATTGACACAGAATCTGCGCTTCAAACATGGGAAGAACTAGCCTTGAAAAAAGCTACATGAAGACAGCCCTGACACCATCTTAAGCTAAACTGACCTTCTGCATAGACGAAAAGAGCTATACACACAGTAATGATAATGATAATAAGAACAAAAACAACAATAGTGAAAATAATGATAATGATGATGAGGATGATAATAAAAATATTAATAATAATAATAACAACAACAACAACAACAATAACAACAACAATAATAATAATACAAATAATAATAATAATAATAACAATGATAATAAATTAATAATGATGATGATAATAAAATCAACAA